ATATAGGGTTCAGCCAGACCAGCATCCTCCTAGGCTATTCCAAGACGTCTGGATATACCTAACCCTCATAGAACTTCTCGACATCGAGGATTTCCCAATCAAGTCAGAAAGGGATGTCGGGCTCTCGAGCAATAGCATAAAACCATCCCTCCCTCCACCCTTTCAGAGAACTCGCCATCCTCAGTACCTTAAACCCTCCTATGGTCGAGAGGTAACCAAAACAGGTGTATCGAGGATGCTTCTTAAGCTCGAACACCAATTTATAAAGGTTGACATTGGGCTTGATCGCTAAGTACCTACAGGCTATGAAGAAATACACGAGCATTCTCCAGGCATTGGGCACTAGCTACCCCGGTCACAGGGAATGCTGGACCAATAAGGTAATAAAGAAAGGGTGTTGGGGGCCACCTAAATCCAGCCTTAAGGGTCTTCCTAAAGATGACAAACTCCCCTCGTCGAGCTCATACAATTCTATCGTCGGGGCCAGGGGATCTAACGTCACAAATAGACATGAGCCCATACTCCCTAGCTACAGCAATAGCCAAATGCTCTTTCAACTTACAAGGTTCATTGGGATACTCGAAGACCATATTAACCTAAGCCTCAAGTCTTGCATCTAGGGAAATACTTGTTGGTATTATCGAGATACCTAAGTCCTTACTGCTACTCGAGCTACTGGAACGATCACCTCATTATTACTCGATATTACTTAATGAAATTAAGTCTTAGCTTATGGAATAACTTAGAGTCTCGAGCCTTACCTAGAGTTACCCTACAACTTGAGAAGTTCCAAAGTATTTTGCTCGAGCACGACCTCGTAGATTTTAGATTTACAGTGGGTAAAAGTAAAAAATGAGGGAGTGAACAACAGTATTTATAGGTGAAAAAGACAGAAGGCCAAAGGTCGCCATTTATGGCCGTTCATTGGGACACATGTCGCACATCAAAAGGCACTCTCTAAAACGGTGATATCAATACCGACCATATCATCAGCCATTTTCCTCAACGACATAACTGACGATGTTTGGTGGTTAGTAACTCAGGTGCACCCCATCCCAGAGCTCACACTTTACGAGGAATGCACAGGGGCCAATGATACTATCAAAATCGGATATCTCGATGACTATCTTACTTGAGGAATCCCCATATGCCTCACTTCTATTTCCTGATACGAAATCCTCGGGCAATTCGAGTCCTCGAAATACTAAGCTCGAGGATTTTGTTCACATTGTCATGAGAATCACCTTTTATAGTCCTCAAGAAAATGTCCTCAGGTCATGCTTCTTTATGATGTCCTCGAGTTGCATATGCTCACCCAACAGATGTCTAAACCCCCAAGGACTCTACGTCAACTCCAACACTGTTGGCCGTACAATTCAATTACGAGTAAGACATTCCTCTCAAGCAGGACTCTATTGGATAAATACATCCAACTAGTTCAATCCTCTAAGGACTGAACTACCCACCTCTATAAATATAGACCCCCAACCCATTGATCAGGTACGTTATACACTTACAGTTTTCAGTATATATTTTTCCTCAATCCCTTTTCTAACTTAAGCATCAAAAGGGCAACGAGAACACATCTCGTTGCCTTTGTTTCAGGTACCCAAAGATTGCGTTCAAGCTTGTTATCAATCTTCATCCTCGAGATCTACAAGGTACAATTTTTGATAGCATCACCTAGTAATTTGTAGCATTTAGATGGGTAGCAAAACTTGTGCCAACATCCTACCCATACGACTCTTACGCAATGACGAGGTGCCATGTTCAATTGCTAGATTGTCCGATTTTAATAGGTTCATCTACTACCTCAATGAGCAATGCCTAATTGAAAATGAAATGAATTGTTTATAGAGTTTTAGTTTCAGTAAGAATACTACTTCTTACTGTAAACCTTGCTGATTTTTAATACTCGAATCTGCAAAGTTTAACCCCACTACATTGCTTCTGGCATAAGTCTAAATCTATGCACCCTACGCTTTTATGTAGTTTTGGTAACTTGATCCCAGATTCCAAATTGAAAGGAAGGATCTGACCATTAATGTTGAAACAAAATATCCACCATAGACAACCACAAGGCACCTAAATCCGAATTGAAGTAGATGGCCCAGACAAAACTCACTTGCCTCATGCACAAGGATTTTGCCATTCAAATAGGGCAGTTGACAGGTCGAGATGTTGGCAACACCTCGGCCCTTGATTGCTAAGCTGCGGGCCCCTTGGATTTAAATCAGGGATAAATCTCGAGTTTTATAGCAGGTCTGCACGCACAAAGCTAGGAAGTAGGGTATAACGCCAAAGAAGTGAAGTGACGACTGCAATTATGGCAACACCTTTTCAAATGCTAACGCACATGCATCAACATTTAATGCTTACAACCACTTTAGCCATCAGTGCATGCAACTAACGAGTCCATGGGGAGTTGACACGCCTCCCCACTAAAAGTGGGAAAAAGTGGCCTAAAGTCTAGTAGTCCTTTACTTAATATAAATAATTAGACTCGTACTTTGGAGACTAAATAACTTTGCTAAATGAGTGCGGATAAGTTTAAAGGAAAAGATACTTCGCCAAAAAATGAAACGATTGTTGGGATAAAAAATAGAATAGAGAAAGAGAATAAGGGGAAAAAAATCTTTCTCTAAGTCCATAACCTAACATAAATAATGAAGCCCGCACATGGGGACTATCAACATGGCCCATGAAGTCACTTGAGTAGGACACTTGTAAGACCAGTGTGATGTCATCACAAAGTAAATTCAGACAATGTCTCGCTATGTTCGCTTCTCACAATCGATGCTATTTTGATAAAGGGTTATAAGAAAGCTCCATGATTGAACTCCAACACTTAATAAGAATTAGAACTAGAACACAAGGAAATCATGTAACAAGAGAGGTGTAGGGACAAACAAATGTCATGCCTAGACAAAGAGGACATGTGAAGCACTTTATTGGCCACGTGACAACAGGGAAATACTACCAAATAGCAAAGATGGTTACATGAGCATGTGAGGAAAGTGATTTGAAAAATCTTTTGAAAGGATAAAGTAATTTAATATGAGGGAACCACGTACCTTCGAGCAATCTATAGTAGCAAGTTGTCACAAATCGATCCTTTTAGAAGAAGTGATTCTATCAATCTTACTAGTTACTTCGTTCTTTATTTCTACTTAAGGGGATCTTAAGGAAAATAATTTTGTTTCCACCTAGCTAGAACAATATGTCAATGTCCTTAGTAAAGCAAAGTCATCGTTTAATAACTATTTTGCTCCAATTTGTTTCCCCAAATAAAAAATGGATGATTTAGTTACGATTAGAAATCGACTTTCTATATTCAGTCATGGATCCTTTACTCATACTTTTTCAACTGGAAGTCTTGATCCAATTCAAAAATTATGCTTCTCAATTTCATAATCCAACTTTTCAATATATAGGTAACATGTGTCCTAGCGATGTCAAATGACCATAAGGCCCATAAACTTAAGAAATCTATAAATACTCCACATTCTTAGACCATCTCACCAAATTTAATGACCAAATTTTATGTAAACCATTGGAGATGGTTGAACACAAAATTTTACCCCAAATTTATTTAGAGCTATTTAATTATAAAATATTTTATTATAAAGATCCTTAAATTAGAAGTTATCTTCGAGTTAAAATATTGCATTTATTAATAAATAGAAAAAATATTAAAATAATACCACAAATTATAAAAATTATATCGAACTATTATAAATAATTACTACTTATTAATTGATTAAAATTTAAAAATAAATGTTAAATAAAAAATAACCTTCACATAAAATAATTATAAATCAATTAAAATTTATCAATACTAAAATATTAAAGAGGGACAGAGATGGAAGAAACAACTTTTATAAAGTGAAAAAAAGAGCAAAATGGGGTTATTGAAAATTCTTATATTTAGTGTAACACTATTCATTACACTATATTTTGCACAACATTTGGCCCCTCATTGGAGGGTTTACACCAAATTACATCAAATTTGACCCTTCATTTGAGATGCCCTTAGCTTTTAGATAGACAGAGGTTGCCGTTTCAATATGCTCTACCAGAGCTACAACAACTGGAGAAGGGTTAAGTAGGGTGACGTAGATGAGGAGGTTAAGGGACTTGTTGGCTTCACTTTTTGGGGTCAAAAACTCCTTATTAAATGTGTCCCTAGAAGGTTTGTTTTTAGATAAACAATTCTCGTTGTATCGACACTCTACTCATTCTATGTTACTTGTCTATGATACAATATATTTGCGGTGACAAAAACACCGAAAAAATGTTAGAGATACAAATGACAGAATAAGCAAATGTTGAAAACCTTTAATATGGCATTAAAAATTAATGTATCAAAATGAATATTGTGATAATACAATCCTCCATATTTAACTAAAAATGAAACTTTATTGGCACGTATCATACACTTACTACGAGGGTGGGAGGTAGAACTAGGGAGTGGGGGGAATCAAGAGGTAAGAGTTCTTTTCTTTTGCCTTTTTTCTTACGTGAAAGTGAACGTGTTGACCTTGAGTGCCATGAACTTAGAAGGTTAGATCCACGTCACGAAAAATTGAATAGGACATGAACATCGATACTCCTTTAATTATAGAACTAGTATTGGCGCCAACGAAGTCTGAAGTTATTCTTCAATGCAATTTTACTCGCCTCAATCCAACTATCACACAAAAAGCTTTATTTTACTAGCAGTATTGAAAGTTTGTTTTTCTTCTTCCATCATAAATTCTGCTACAATATGTCCTTCGACGATCCCGGGCAACTAGTCTGAACGCTAAGCCAGCATAATGCGCGAAAAGCTTTAAATACTTAGTGCCATAGGCATAACTGTAATCTTGCGCGCGCAAAACCTATTTCAACTTTCTTGTGACGTACAACTTTAAGAAAGTCAATTATTAAAAGCACGAACACGATGGGAACATTTAAGAAAGTCAACACCATTATCAACCAAACACAGTAATCGGAAACTATAATCGAACGCCATGAAGAAACTAATCAATTTCTCTTAATTTTTTTAGCAAAAGTTTCATCACATGGTAAGTAGAGTTTCAGTTACAATGCATATACTCAAACAAATGGCTTCCGCAACTCACTAGCAGAATGAGCAAAATGACACCTCTCGCCAAAAGTACATTTCCCCTTAGCGAAATTTTCGCACATCTTTTTCCTGAAATTGTTTGGTGGTGTACCCTGACCAAAAGGACCCATAGGCTTCTCGGCACGTCCTGGGAAAGAACTAATGTTCATAATGAGTTCCCGTACCATAGCGCTAGCTTCTTTGATCTGATCAAACGAACCTTCAAGCTCAATATTTCTTTGATTTGGATCTACTTCGTGATCTTTTATAGAAAGTTTAACCCCCGTCTGTCGACAAATCTGCCTAGAGTTTACACCATTTTTCCCAATAATGGTTCCAGCAAAAGAGGCATCTATGCTAATTTTTGCGGTTGCTGATGAACCAAAGTTTGCCACAGGTGTTGATCCCATTGCTCGAGAATCTTCATGACCTGGCCCCATGGGCTTGCCAAGCTCCATCTCACCGTGGGCAAAGCGGCACTTTTCACCGAATCTGCATCCTTCAGGAGTATTAATGTTGCTGCAAAGCTTGGTCTTCACAATTCGAGGAGGACCATCAGTAAAAGGAACAGCAGCATTGCTGCCCAATTTCGCCATCTGGATTTGTGCATTGTAACCGGGAAAATAATGCTGGAAGTGACATGTCTCGCCAAATGAGCACCCAGAAGTGCTGCACCATGCATCAAACAGAAAAATGAGGGGAAAAAAATTACTATGTAAGGTGAAGAAATAAATAATAATTTTGCTACACTTACACTATGGTTGACAGCTTTGTTTACACTCTGAAATGGACAATAGTTTTACCATTGATTTTACTAATACTTTTCTAATCAATGGCCTCGATTTTGACACCCAACACCTATTCTAATCAATGGCCCCGATTTTAACACCTCAAAGGGTGTCAAACTAGTTGAACACCATGCTTAATTCAATCAAAAAAATTATTAAACCAAAACTTATGATTTAAATCCCCTTCATGGGATAATTTTCATCAGAAAACAAGTCACCATGGGAGCACATCATTGTTGTACAGGGCCGCTGGCATATATATCAGTACCATTTTAATGCAATAAAATCTGTGCACTTCATATGATTAGGAACATGATAAACGCCTTAGTGATACATCAATTCTAATAGATAGAATGTTCATAATAAGCACAAGGATGATATGAAATCAGTAGAGGATCACATTCTTGCAAAAAGTGATTGTTTGAGGTATCTTAGTTCACAAGGACAGAATGGAAAAGGATCAAGCAATAAGATTACAATGGGTTGAATTAAACAAAGTAAGTGATACATCAATTCTATGCAATAGAATGATACCTATAAGAATAAGAAACGAGTGTGTACCCTGACCAAAAGGACCCATAGGCTTCTCGGCACGTCCTGGGAAAGAACTAATGTTCATAATGAGTTCCCGTACCATAGCGCTAGCTTCTTTGATCTGATCAAACGAACCTTCAAGCTCAATATTTCTTTGATTTGGATCTACTTCGTGATCTTTTATAGAAAGTTTAACCCCCGTCTGTCGACAAATCTGCCTAGAGTTTACACCATTTTTCCCAATAATGGTTCCAGCAAAAGAGGCATCTATGCTAATTTTTGCGGTTGCTGATGAACCAAAGTTTGCCACAGGTGTTGATCCCATTGCTCGAGAATCTTCATGACCTGGCCCCATGGGCTTGCCAAGCTCCATCTCACCGTGGGCAAAGCGGCACTTTTCACCGAATCTGCATCCTTCAGGAGTATTAATGTTGCTGCAAAGCTTGGTCTTCACAATTCGAGGAGGACCATCAGTAAAAGGAACAGCAGCATTGCTGCCCAATTTCGCCATCTGGATTTGTGCATTGTAACCGGGAAAATAATGCTGGAAGTGACATGTCTCGCCAAATGAGCACCCAGAAGTGCTGCACCATGCATCAAACAGAAAAATGAGGGGAAAAAAATTACTATGTAAGGTGAAGAAATAAATAATAATTTTGCTACACTTACACTATGGTTGACAGCTTTGTTTACACTCTGAAATGGACAATAGTTTTACCATTGATTTTACTAATACTATTCTAATCAATGGCCTCGACTTTGACACCCAACACCTATTCTAATCAATGGCCCCGATTTTGACACCTCAAAGGGTGTCAATCTAGTTGAACACCATGCTTAATTCAATCAAAAAAATTATTAAACCAAAACTTATGCTTTAAATCCCCTTCATGGGATAATTTTCATCAGAAAACAAGTCACCATGGGAGCACATCATTGTTGTACAGGGCCGCTGGCATATATATCAGTACCATTTTAATGCAATAAAATCTGTGCACTTCATATGATTAGGAACATGATAAACGCCTTAGTGATACATCAATTCTAATAGATAGAATGTTCATAATAAGCACAAGGATGATATGAAATCAGTAGAGGATCACATTCTTGCAAAAAGTGATTGTTTGAGGTATCTTAGTTCACAAGGACAGAATGGAAAAGGATCAAGCAATAAGATTACAATGGGTTGAATTAAACAAAGTAAGTGATACATCAATTCTATGCAATAGAATGATACCTATAAGAATAAGAAACGAGTTCGAAGTATAACTCTTAGACCAGTGACACTTATATGGCACTGAGACTGAGTAAGAGGCCATTAAAGGATAAAATGCCCATAACCTAAATGTATCGGAATGAGATACCAAAAGATGAATATCTAGCATTTTTAAATTGGATGACATAAAAAAAGAGAGTAGAGACCAAATGGAAGTAGCACCAATTGAATATAAATTAAGGATAGACGACTTCTATAGGGACAAAGAAGATAACCTTCACAAGAGTGATAGGATCCGAACACCACACATAAGAAAAGAGAGAGGTAAGACCATGGGCTTATGTGGTTGCATTTTATTTGATTGCATTGAGTCTTCGAGCATAAGTAATGATTGCTTGCTTGAGTCCAAAAATGATTCATGTAGCCCATTAAGATTTTCTAGACTAGTTCCATCAATGGAACCACAAGAAACTCGAAATAATAACTGTCAAAGTTGACTTTATTGTCATATTTCGTAACCATTATCCTTGATTGGGAATTTGTTTTGCAACCATGTTCATTAAATCCTAGAGTACGAATAAAGAAGAGGAGCATTATTCTATTAACAAAAGCTGGTATAGTTGGAGGCCTTGGTCCCTCAAACTCTTTTTCCATGTTCATTTTGTTAATACTATATATTGGAGGCCTTGTTCCCTAAAAGCACCCACAGAGACAGACACCAAATAACACCATAACTACACACTTTACTACATCAAAGAGCAAATAACAAAAACTATGAACTTTTAACCCATTGGAGATTCAAGAGGTCTTTCCCTGCATAGATCAAGAAAAATGAACAATTATGAAAAGAAAATTTTAGTTCTTCAAACCAAGGGCTCCAATAGAACTACGAATAAAATGTATAAGCGGGAAAGAAAAGTCAAATTCTTCAAGGAACTAATGCCTCTAATAATATGGAATGGTGCTCTTCATTGTTTCTCTTAGCTTAAATAGGCATCATTGTAAACAAATCCCCCAAATCAAGGAGAACGACCAGGAAATGACAAAAGAGTCAACTTTGACTGCTTTTTTAAGAATTTCCAGTGTTCCACTTCGAAGGAGTTATATATGCTGAGCTAGTATAGGAAATCTAACACAGTTCTCAAAATTAATTGAAAATTAAAACTTAATTGGGTGTACTTCATAGATTCACATCACCTTTAGGTGCACATAACCAGGGGTTAAAAGTAAAGTCCAATAGCTAACTCAAGTTACCCATCAGACAAAACATCAATGAGAGGGTTGAGCTAAACTTGATTGACAGTGTAACACTCCAAATTTTCATAAATCTTGAAGTGTTACAAAAAAATTTCTTTCCTTTGTATTAAAGGCGGAACGACAAAACATATATTTCTTTAATAACAAAATAGCTGAAATATCACCAATTGGATAAAACGAAGTTTTGGACTAAAATGAAATGCTTTAAACACCTATTTTATTTAGGCTAAATAATTAGATATTGATGAAATGAGAATTAGTATATCAATATTGGACTCGTTTTGTAGGCCGTAATTAATTAGAAGTCTTTGACTCGAAAAAAATTCATTTGAATAAGTTAGGCCCAAGTTATTGGAGCTTAAATAAGTTGTCTATCAAAAATTAGTTAATTAACTTTGATGGTTGGTACTACACGTGGGTGTATTTAACTACAATTGTTTCCTTTTTCTTTTTTTTTTTCTTTTTTTTTTTCGTTATTAGAATTTGTAGTCAATCCAAACTCCACTAGGCTTGATGTGATTGAATTGAAATAGCATTATCCAAGTGTCCTATTTTGGATGATTATGAATTTATTATTAAAGTATAATCCAAATACCAAAACTTAGTTTTATCCAATTGGTGATACACGATGTTCTATCCCAACTGTACAGTAACTCAATTACTTTTTCAACTATAAATACTATGCAAATGTTCCATAATTCACCACATAAATTTTATATACACACAGCACAGAGAGAATAGTTTTGGGAATCAGAAAGTGGGAAGCCAAATTTCATGCATTAAACATTATTGTAAAGCATTATACGCACCTCTATTCAACGAAGTAAAGAAAAAGACTTGGGACGGGAAATCATTGTTTTTCTTTCAAAGATTCATTTGATCTATCAAGGTAAATATGCATATATTGCCAGTGGACGTTCGGGTTATTTTTTAAGTGATGTGAAATCCTTCGAAAATTTAAAAGGACCTAAGATGAGTGTGTCATTTGGTCACCGATATACTCCATAAAAAGAGTGGTATGAAGTGTTTGTTTATTTGTTATATGTAATTGAGTATGAAAACAGTACGTATCTTATTGGGTATTTTTAAATACTCTTACAATAATTTACAGGTTAGTGTGGGTCGATAGAATCTTTGACAAAATGGTAATACAAGCTGTCAGGTGGATTGAAAAAAGTTTAAATACACATTAAGTTTTCTGACTTAAAATTTATTAGTTAGTTAATTTATTCAAAGACATCATTTAAATAGTTAGTTGAATATATTCATTTTTTTTAAGATACAATTTATGTTTTGTTGAAATTTATGGATATTTCAATTATTTTATTTATAAGGAAATTTATGTTTTGTCCTTCCACCTTTAATACAAAGAAAAGGAAACTTTTTGTAACACTTCAAGATTTATGAAAATTTGGGGTGTTACAGTTTGGTATCAGAGCACAAGTATACCTTTCGGTAGACATTCTTTTAAAAAAAAAAAATCGACAGATGCTAAAAAAAAATTTGTACTTTTCCCATGAACTGTTCACCGTGAACAGCAACGTCACTGTTCGTGTGAATGGCGCATGACACTATTCACGTAAAAAAAAAAAAAAAAAGGAAACAATTATAGTTACATACACCCACGTGTAGTACCAATCACCAAAGTTAATTACTAATTTTTGATAAAGATAACTTTTTTAAGCTTCAATATCTTGGGTCTAGCTCATCCAAATTAATTTTCTCAAGTAAAAAACTTCTAATTAATTACGACCTACAAAATAAGTCCAATATTGATATATTAAATCTCGTTCCATCAATATCTAATTATTTGGCCTAAATAAAATAGGAGTTTAAAACCTATTTCATTTTAGTCCCCAACTTTTCTAAATATAACATATAAAACAGATAAATTTCATTCTAAAAATTTTCGGGTACTACAGAGAGCATCATTTGTCTCAATGAAGTTTGTAGAGTTAAATCTTAAAAAACAGGTATAAGAAATGAACTAGTAATACATATTACCACTTAGAACAATGAAAAAATTCAATAAAAAATTCTTACTATTTCTCAATTATTTATATCATTATAGCGTAACAGGAAAAAAAATAAATAAATAAAAAATCATCTTCACTTATCAAAGACCAACAAAACCCATAACTGGGCCCGATGGCCTAAATAATTAACCTAAGTTGATTCGACTGATATCACAACTCTGAGGGTCAAATCAAGATCAACATGCTTGTTTATATTGTTTGTTTGATACCATATTAATCTCACTATACAAATATATATTTGAATTAATACGCAAATTCAGAATAGTTATTTTCTGTAGGTGGATAATAGAATTTTGAACCTGAAAAACTTCGTGCATGGCATTGATTTCCTTCCTACACCAGTTGTAAAAGAGTCCATTTCTGTACCAGGAAATTGATTATCTTACTTCAGTTAATTAATAATGTACTTCTTATCATATTTTTAAATAACATCGGATCCACAAAATCATCAAATAATTCAGGATAACCAGATCACTCTCAAAGACTAGGTTGATAGGTGTTCCACAAGGACCAGACCTTGGTAACAACCAAACCGACATAAATGCATTAACGTCATATCACCTAATCATTAATTAAAAGAATGAGACCACTTTCATGAATTTAAATGCTTTCACATTAAGTTTGGACATGGGAACAAATGCATGTGGCACTTCTTCAGTTACAGAGGCAAAAAAAAAGGGAGAGACTGACAGTTATGGTCTCAAAATGAAACACTGATGACAGACGTTAGAGAAGATTCTCAATATTGCTCCATGGATAACAAAGTAGGCAGATAATTGAACTTTTTCTTTATGGGAACTCCTAACAAGCAATTATCGATTGCATTCATGCCGGTAAAATTGCTTAGAGAAAAGCTTTGAACCAGATAAAGGAGCACATATTCCTTTGGTCCGAGGATGCCTATTCTACTTGTTTTCCCATGGAGAGCTTTCAGGACAAATCAAAGGCAACTGCCCTTCAAAATGGATGAAGGAAGACAAGAAGCTCTTACACATTGCCCATCTTAGGAAGCTGGAATCAGCAGATGTTATCGTTATTGAAGATTCAAAGATGTATTAAACAAACTTCTCTAGCATCATCAGTAATGCATCTAAAAATGTCCAATTCGTCAGTTTTTTAGCATATAATTTGGGTTTCAATGTGCATCACAAAATTCGCTAGAAAGCGTAATTTAATCTTTGTTACTCTAATCACCAGCCCAAAGCCAAGATTACCAGCTTCTTTGGCAGCCCAACTACAAGCCACCAGTGCCTTGATATTCAGTTTGAGGATATGAACAGTCAGAAAAGCCAAATGCACATATGGATTTCACAGACATATATACCAAACCGTCCATTCCCACCCCTCAAACTGAAGGCAGCCTAAGTATTTAACACCAAAATAATAAAACAAAAATTATAACGTTCAGCAATTTGTTAAAACAACCAAGAATCAATTGCAAAAATATCAATTAAACAATGAATTTCAAAATTAAAAAAAAAATTGTAAATTCGAAGACTAACCATCCTTCGATTTTTTGAAACCGCCGTAACCCGCGAAGGCGGTGTCTGGCCTACCTCTCTTCCGCCCGAAGTCCATTACCATTAATCGATTCACAAGCTAAGATTTAAATATTAAAACTTGAACAAATAAATTAATGTAATATGAGTTTTATGTAAATCAATGTTTATAACTAGCAGCGAAGAAGGAAAGTTAATCAAAAAGATGGAAAGGAAAGTAAGATTCTAGGGTTTGGGGAACAGAGAGGCGGTTTCCCGGAACTCATTTTCAGATTCGAATTTAGTTTATATTGTGGCTTTGAATCCTCGTTACCGCCTTTGGGCCCAACGCTCTGTTTAATACCTCGGATATAACGGCCCATTTTAGTCATAGTATTTCGAAATGACAAAAATAACACTGAATTGAAACCATACTCATTGAACATTTCTTTGTGCATTCAATGGATCGGTCGGTCCGTATAATCCTTACCTGCGTATAGACTCGATTCAGACTCATTTTCGACCAGCTTGAATTGATTCTTATACAAATTAGGGACAAATAGAGTTTAAATCATTTTTAAAATCCGGAAAAATTCATATATACCCATCAATAATAAAACATTTCATGAAATACTATTTTTTTTAATTTAAATTCATTATATACTACATAGTCGGTATATTTTTTCCCGATTTACTGGTCTTCACATTTCCAAAAATATTCATATGTAACTAATAAGAGGGTGTTTGGGGCTCATTTTCATGTAAAAATACATTTTAGAATAGTAAATTAATGAGAAATATGAGGAAAAATTTTTGATGTACATATAATATCATTTTAATAAGAATGTGTAGTTGAAAAGAAGAGAGAAAAAAATACATTTTGAAAAAAATAAGTACCAAACGGAGCCTATGACAAAAAATTTGTAAAAAAAAAAAAGTTTGAATTTCATTATAAAAATGGTGAGCGCCTTTTTGCACATAGGCCCACATTATGCAGTCAAAAGAGTAGGCTATACATGACGTTTTGACAATGTCTAATCAATCATGCTTGGTGTATATTGTCTTTGACAATTTTTCCGTCAACAAAGTAGTAAAAGACAATGTATAAGTGGCAAAATCTATGCCTAATGCCTAGGCACAATGACATCTTTTCACGCCTTTTAAAATACTGATATTTACTATTATAATAGCTTTTTAGTCGCATATTTGGTAGGTGTTTATAAAAAGTTAAAATTATGAATAGGTATAAATGAGTAGTTAATAAGTGTGTATTAATTGTACGTTCCTCTAATTGTGGATTAAAATTGCATTGGCTGAATTTTATATAATAAATCAAACTAGTGAGTTTGGTCCTCATAATTTAGACAATCTCCATGGTCTTAGATCCTTTTATTATGACAGACCAACCATAAACTAACTTCAATCGGATTGATTTGGTTTTGACACAATCTTAACAAAATAAGTGATCCCACGACTGGATTGTTCCACCTTTTGATACACAATTCCAGGTATGGTACGAGCGTGGACTAAGTTCAAGGTAGGAGAATTTGTTACTTCTTAAAAAAAAAGAAAAAATGACTGTGTTGGAAGAAGAGAGTAATAACCCATCCTCTACTCGTCTCGTTTCTTCACTTCAAATTTCTTTCAGCCTTACTCTTGACGATTTCGTTTCTCTAAACGTCATGAATCTTCGCAAACCTGGCAACTTCTGAAAGCACCGTAGCCGTCCAAAGAAGTAATGTGTTGTGTGCACACCACAATGTAATTTTACTAGAGGCTATTTTGCAGGAACAAAAACAAAAGAAATAGGCCGAAATAAATAAAATCAGAGAAAATTTTATTTTATTTTATTTTATTTTATTCTTCAAGAAAACCCTTAAAAAATGGTCATTAAAAGTTTAGAACACACGACATGATTAATAACTAGGTTAAATGATTTGGCCTATTAGGACACCATTGTATGCCTAAACTTTCTTGATGTATTTCAATTATTGACAAGACTAGCACGACGAACACTGTAATATAACTTAAATACCAGCGATTTAAAAGGGGGAAAAAATAAATAAATAACTTTTTACACATGTTAACGGCAAATGTAACAATTCCCCACAAGCACTGACCTATAATGAACAATTAGAACCCCATCTCAGCTACGAGTTGGCCTAACTAAAATAATTAAACATGAGCTAATATTCGCTGAAAAATGGCATTATACAACACAATCCCAGGATTAAATCTGGCTTTTACCATACCTTTAGTCATTAGATACAACCCAATGCCACCTGCCCTAAATAGACACTATCAAAATCTTCTTTGCTATCCATTTTACTGGACTGAACTAACCAAGATGGTTCGGTTTTGTTATTCTCGGCCCATCAGTTGCTCATGCAAGTAACGATCATCCTCGTCTGTTAAAAGGGACACAAGGATAACCAAAAACAATGTGGTCAAGAAATATTACAGCCAAAAACAATTTATAAATGTTTGAACTATTCCTCTTAATGAGGTTGACATTTTAAGACGGAATCCCCAAAGTGTTCACATGATATCAGAGTACATTATACTTCAACAAGCAATTCAATCCAATTACGATTAAAAAAAATGACCACGAAGATTTCAAGATTGATTTGCTCAAACGATCCACCATCTTGTAAGGACATGTTAAAAAATATAATCCCGCATACATAGACCAATTTATAAGGGTTTGGGCAACTCCTACTAATAAGGTTGACCTTTTAAGATATAACCCAAAATCTCAACAACTTACACTAACAAAGCATTTTACTTTCTTAAATAAAATGCTTTGTTAGTGTAAGTTGTTAAGATTTTGGGTTATATCTTAAAAGGTCAACCTTATTAGTAGGAGTTGCCCAAACGACCAGCTTGAATTGATTCTTATACAAATTAGGGACAAATAGAGTTTAAATCATTTTTAAAATCCGGAAAAATTCATATATACCCATCAATAATAAAACATTTCATGAAATACTATTTTTTTTAATTTAAATTCATTATATACTACATAGTCGGTATATTTTTTCCCGATTTACTGGTCTTCACATTTCCAAAAATATTCATATGTAACTAATAAGAGGGTGTTTGGGGCTCATTTTCATGTAAAAATACATTTTAGAATAGTAAATTAATGAGAAATATGAGGAAAAATTTTTGATGTACATATAATATCATTTTAATAAGAATGTGTAGTTGAAAAGAAGAGAGAAAAAAATACATTTTGAAAAAAATAAGTACCAAACGGAGCCTATGACAAAAAATTTGTAAAAAAAAAAAAGTTTGAATTTCATTATAAAAATGGTGAGCGCCTTTTTGCACATAGGCCCACATTATGCAGTCAAAAGAGTAGGCTATACATGACGTTTTGACAATGTCTAATCAATCATGCTTGGTGTATATTGTCTTTGACAATTTTTCCGTCAACAAAGTAGTAAAAGACAATGTATAAGTGGCAAAATCTATGCCTAATGCCTAGGCACAATGACATCTTTTCACGCCTTTTAAAACACTGATATTTACTGTTATAATAGCTTTTTAGTCGCATATTTAGTAGGTGTTTATAAAAAGTTAAAATTATGAATAGGTATAAATGAGTAGTTAATAAGTGTGCATTAATTGTACGTTCCTCTAATTGTGGATTAAAATTGCATTGGCTGAATTTTATATAATAAATCAAACTAGTGAGTTTGGTCCTCATAATTTAGACAATCTACCATTGTCTTAGATCCTTTTATCATGACAGACCAACCATAAACTAACTTCAATCGGATTGATTTGGTTTTGACACAGATCTTAACAAAATAAGTGATCCCACGACTGGATTGTTCCACCTTTTGATACACAATTCCATGTATGGTACGAGAGTGGACTAAGTTCAAGGTAGGAGAATTTGTTACTTCTTAAAAAAAAAATGAAAACAAAAACAAAAAGTAAAACAGTAATAGATGAGGAAACTCAATATTTAAAAGTCGAGGAGAAAATTGAACTCTATTATTACGCCTGGAACATAATTACATAAATTTCAAATTCTCTAATCGAAATTAGACGGCACAAATCTCAACAATGGCAAGCTAGAGTTAAGATCGAACTAAAATCTACGACAAAATGCCTTTATTATTGAACCAATTATCAATTATTCATAATTTTAATTTGATCGAAAACAAATAATGAGTTTTGCCGCAAAACTCATTATTTGTTTTCGATCAAATTAAAATTATGAATAATTGAACCAATTATTTGTTTCCAATGGGGATCGGAAGCCAAAACTTTCACCATAAACATCAAAGAAACTGCAAAAATAGTGAAACAATACAAATAACGGAGAATCCCCATCGGAAATTGCATCACAAGTGCAGAAGAAAGAGGGCTAATATTTAAATCGTATCACTTTTCATTGTTATCCATTGGGATTATGATTAAATCAAATCAAATCTGTTTAAAAAAAAAAACTCATCTTGTACTCTAGCTACACCTACATAAAGGCCACGAGTTCCAAGAATATACCTACAGAAATTCTAAAAAGCTTTTTCTTAGCTTAAGAAAATAAATAGTCAAGTCAGAGAGAAGGAAGCATAGAAAAAGGGGTCTTTCATGTGCATTTTTTGGTCCATCACAATTTTTTTTTTAAAACAATCAGGTTAAGATACTTTTGTGCAAGTGATTATTTATTTATTTTCGATGGGGTAACCATTAAACATACCAATGAGATAAGAGACGCCCACAATTTAAGGTCACCCTCTTTGAGTTCACTCACAGCAACTATGCTAGGAAATCGGACAGAAGTCTCGAACCTAAGTATCAAAATCCTAACCCTGGAGTCGAGGTATTTGAAGTAGCATCAAATAGCTCGAGTACAAAACCACCATTTGTGCTGGAAGAAGAGAGTAATAACCCATCCTCTACTCGTCTCGTTTCTTCACTTCAAATTTCTTTCAGCCTTACTCTTGACGATTTCGTTTCTCTAAACGTCATGAATCTTCGCAAAGCTGGCAACTTCTGAAAGCACCGTAGCCGTCCAAAGAAGTAATGTGTTGTGTGCATACCACAATGTAATTTTACTAGAGGCTATTTTGCAGGAAGAAAAACAAAAGAAATAGGCCGAAATAAATAAAATCAGAGAAAATTTTATTTTATTTTATTTTATTCTTCAAGAAAACCCTTAAAAAATGGTCATTAAAAGTTTAGAACACACGACATGATTAATAACTAGGTTAAATGATTTGGCCTATTAGGACACCATTGTATGCCTAAACTTTCTTGATGTATTTCAATTATTGACAAGACTAGCACGACGAACACTGTAATATAACTTAAATACCAGCGATTTAAAAGGGGGAAAAAATAAATAAATAACTTTTTACACATGTTAACGGCAAATGTAACAATTCCCCACAAGCACTGACCTATAATGAACAATTAGAACCCCATCTCAGCTACGAGTTGGCCTAACTAAAATAATTAAACATGAGCTAATATTCGCTGAAAAATGGCATTATACAACACAATCCCAGGATTAAATCTGGCTTTTACCATACCTTTAGTCATTAGATACAACCCAATGCCACCTGCCCTAAATAGACACTATCAAAATCTTCTTTGCTATCCATTTTACTGGACTGAACTAACCAAGATGGTTCGGTTTTGTTATTCTCGGCCCATCAGTTGCTCATGCAAGTAACGATCATCCTCGTCTGTTAAAAGGGACACAAGGATAACCAAAAACAATGTGGTCAAGAAATATTACAGCCAAAAACAATTTATAAATGTTTGAACTATTCCTCTTAATGAGGTTGACATTTTAAGACGGAATCCCCAAAGTGTTCACATGATATCAGAGTACATTATACTTCAACAAGCAATTCAATCCAATTACGATTAAAAAAAATGACCACGAAGATTTCAAGATTGATTTGCTCAAACGATCCACCATCTTGTAAGGACATGTTAAAAAATATAATCCCGCATACATAGACCAATTTATAAGGGTTTGGGCAACTCCTACTAATAAGGTTGACCTTTTAAGATATAACCCAAAATCTCAACAACTTACACTAACAAAGCATTTTACTGTCTTAAGTAAAGTTGAAAGCCAAATAACAAAACTCAGACTAGTAACTATGGCATTAACAGCACTGACTTGCTAATACTGTTCCCGTTGATTTTGCATATAAAGCCAGACAAAACTCCAATCAGAATGATGTTTAGCAACGTGTTCATACTAGTACTGATGATGATGATGACAACAATAATAAAATCATGAAAACAACTGCTTGCCTCAATTGAGTTTCAACACATACACCGTTGAAAAGGTAAGCAGTTTACGACCAACAACATACATAATTTACTACAGAGTTAACACCATGAGAAATCATTTTACGTAACAAAGTTTCCTTCGTGGTTTCAAACAGCTTTGCTATTTCTCGTAAGAAATGGTCTCCCATTTGTTTCAAAAAGTTTTGCCAATGGACATTATGTCAAATTAACTAAATGATGATGGGTACTCAAACCACATAGGAGGTTGCGCTGTGGTCTCTGCCAGGGTTTAAATGCAACATCGATAGTAGGATATCAATGATGCAATCAAGCTAATTTATAATGGACATGGATTCGTAGAGCAGGATTTATTTTTTTGGGCGTTGGTCCAGAGGGATGATAGGTTTTCTTCTGGGCTGGAGGTACAGATATTTTAATTTATACTCCCTTTTAATTTTTTTTCCAGAAAAGGATCAACATCTATAAATTTCATTGTAATACTGATACATGATGAACTAGGAAGACCAGGATCCTCCCTTTCAAAAGTGGATGCTTTAAAAAAATATCCAGTTTTCAGCGACAATTACTGAAGGCAGGACAAATACATTTGAGCATCAGATAGCAGAGTATAATGTTTGCCACAACTAACGGGTAATCGAGTAGGTAATTTTTTGGTCAGTAATCAAAGCAGGAATTGACAATTTGAAGCTAAATTGATAAAGCAGAGACCATCAATTTTAAATATCATCAGATCATCATAAATTGTACTGCAAAGTCATACCACTTTCGCCACCAGATATATCTGCAAGCCTTGCAAGGGTCTCAGTAAGTGCTTGTTCATGCTCCTGTTTTGACCAACAGGAAGAATAGCATTGAACCTACTAGTAAATGAAGTAAATCTACAGAGAGAAAAAAATAGGAGTGCTTTCTAACCTTCAGAACTTTCTTTGCCTTTTCTATCTCAGCAGGGTCCGGATTACTGGACCCAAAAACCCTCTCCACCTGCCAATGTCCAACAGTCAACACCCAAATTAAGTAGCACTTCTGAGTATTTAACTATATATACCTCTCAAGCAACTTTTACCTACCTCCTTAATTAGATTATCAGTAGGAAGCAGTTGAATGATGTCAGATCCCTTCTTTCCAATGCCATTCTGCGATGGTGGAAAATCCTTCCTGGATTTTGTCAAACCCCTACCTCTTCCTGCACCAGGAGCATTACCTCGCCCAGTAGGTCGACTCATCCGATGGCCTGATGCGCCATAGCCTCCACGACGAGAAATTTCAGGGTCTTCACCTTCCCACTGTATATCCTCAGGAGAAATCTGCAGATGAGACATAGAACAAGATCAGACTAAGACTTAAAACATTTTGTTCCCTGTGTAATAGTTGTAACTGATCAACTAAACTTTCACGAAGGGTTACATAGTTGTACGACATGCAAGAGTATAGAATAAAAGTAGATGATTCTAAAGAGTAAGATCTCTTGCAGAACCAGAGTGGAGTCAAACGAGCACAGAGATTTAAAATCAAACACTTAAAAAAGGCAAATTTTGGATGGTTTTCTCCAAAATAACTCACTGGAACAGAAATTAAATCAATGTGGGGATTGTGGCTTATAAGTAGAGGTCAACACTAATTAAACATGGAAATTCTACAAGAGGAAACAGATATTACGTCAGATAGCTAGAAAAATCATCAGCATATTGGTGTACACATAATTATTTTTAAAATAAACTTTGGCTAACTATTTTACATTATCACTTAATATGGGAATTGATTCTCTCTCATAATTTAAGAGCATTAATTCGTCAGAATCTTTTAAACTAATTCCAAAAGTTATACCTAACATTACATCTAATTTGACATCTTGAAAAATTCTCACCTAAAACTAGTTCAGGCTAATACATCTATTTTGGAATACAGCCAGTAGTATGACTTACGAAGCACAGATACGGATACGGATATGCAATTTGAATATGATACGATATAGGGTACGCTGATACGACTTTTTAAAAAAAAAAAAAAAAATTAAGATACATGGATACATGTTATAAAATTCAACATGATTTCATTAATTTAAAAAAATAAATAAATAAAAAATAAAACAGAAGCATAATAATAAAAATAAAATAAAATACTAAAGCATTTTATCTTAGTCCTTAATTGTCCAAATTTCATTTTCTTTAACATCATCAACACTAGCTTCTTCATTATTATTAAAAATAGCACTCTAACTTCGACTCATCTAATAATAGATTAGCAACCTCAAGCAGTCCAATGCCTTCAAAATTATTATATAATCTTCAACAATGTCCCATATTTTGAATACTCCTTTTGAATAGAGATATAATTTTCTTGTTAAACTAATTGTGTATTATCAATAAATATAATTAATATTCAATAAGTTATTAAAATAATTAAAAAATACATACCCAATATATATCGAACACGTATCAAAAATTTTAAAAATATAAAAGAACTAAAAGAATGCATCCGAGGATATTCCAAGCTTGGATTCGTATTGGATACGGATACGGATACGTAGTGAGCTTATAAGTATCCGTGCTTCTTAGCTTACGACCCTCTGACATACAGATACAGATCTCACTATTTAATCAAAAAAAAATTTTATTAGTGAGATTTCAAATTCAAAACCTCTATCCAAAAAATTGCTAATAACTTTTTGCCTCTAGGTCTTACTTGAACAGAAGCAACATCTAAATGATGCTCCTTGGCTGTCATGTAAATAGTATAAGAAATGCTCTCATATATAAGAATAAAGCACTTGTCTATGTGTGACATATATAAAAAATCAAATGTTTAATAACACGAGAATAAACATGCATATACCTCAGCAAGATTGACCCATTCCCATGTTTCGTTTGGAGTACCGTAATCATAAACAAGAGCATGACGATCCTGGGGGAACAGTGAAGAGACAGGTCAGAAATTGAATAAGCTCAATGTGAAGTCTACAAATCACCACAAATCAGATATACCTCAGTTGCATTATAGTCAGTTATGACAGCTTCATAGAAATTATTGTCATCAGGCCATCTGGTCCTTACTTTCCGTCCGATGAATTGATCAAGAGTAGCTCCTTCAGCAGGTTCATTCGGTAGGCCACCAGAAGTAATACGGTTACCCAATTGACCTCTACCAGCTGGGCCAGAAGAGGGATACTGCATTTTCATTGAGGAAGAACCTGGAGGAATCTGGCCCTATCAAGGAAATTATAAATGAAATTAGAATCAAAAGGTGTATAGGCGCAAACCTTGTAATAAAAATACATACAGATTTAGGCTTTTTCCCCTTTGTCCCCATCATGGGTCCACGCTTTGCAGAAGACGAAGATGGCTGGCTTGCCGTGGCCATTGCCTGTGGGTGGAAAGATGGCCCACCCAAGGAATGAGAAGGCAAAGAGGAAGCTATTTTCCGTTTCTTGCGAGAAGCTGATACAGAAGGACTGGGCATCGGATCATTGACAGCTTGACTAGCACCATGCATGCCAGGTTGGAGCACACCTGACTGTCTCCATTCCCTGATAGCATTTCCCAAATTTTACTCAAAAGAAGCAATGAAATTAACACTATAAATTCTACTAAATTAGACAAGTACCTTATTCTTCGTATAGTTTCATCTGCATTAACTCTACCAAGAAGCTCCCTGTGCTCTTCATTTGACAGTCGTAACTCTTTCCTCAGTTCAGTTATTAAACTTTCCTTCTCCTGAAGAAAATACATTTCATTGAGCGGTTATTTAAACCTGATCAAACAAATATGTCAGAATTAGATTCAAGTCTTCAATGTGACAAGAGGTACCCAAGTAATGGCATCGGCTTGTGCTTTAAAGGCTTTTAAAACTGAACTGTATGCGTCTTGCTCAAGCTGGTGAATTTTGGCTTCCATATCAGTTTCATCATGCATTCTAGGATATGGGGTAGCACCCATGACAGCAGGCCTTCCATTCACAGCAACGCGTCCACCTCTCTGAATTCTATTTTGATGTGGTGGAGGAAGATCATCATCAGTTCCTGCAACACAAAGGTATCAGTACTGAAGCCAGGAAAGGAAATTGTTTCATTTGGATAAAGAAGCCAGTACACACTAAAATGAAATCAAAAGGAAAGCAATCTGGAGCGCATAAAAATAAAGTTAGACATGTCATCCAAAATTTGACAATTAGAAAGATGAGGTTTAGATAATGAAGCCGGTTGAACCACTTTTACACAGCTTAATACGTGTTTATCTAAAAGCTTAAATTATTAGAGATGGGACATATATATCATTTAAATATTATCTTCAACAAAGCCTTGGAAGATCAGGATCATGGTTTTACTTTTACACAACTTAAAACATCTAATGAACATATACTTTTGTAGCGAAAGCTTGAAAGTTCTTCCGACTGACTGATTGAATTCATAGGTGATCATTTGCCAATTAGTGCTCCAATTCATACATCAAAAGACACCTTTCTGCATATGTGCAAAGCTTATTCCTTCACATCTCCTCGTAGTGAGAGTAGAACGTGATCTGATCAATACAGCTCACTGTTAAGCAATTCTAGTACTACTTTTAGAAACAAAGAATTAAAAAAATTAATAAGGAATCTGGACGCCTGGTTGTCTCTGTTTCCATCTTTACGCATTATAAGAAAGTGGATCTCCAAATAAATAACATGTTATTGCTTACAAGCATTTAGTGCTAATGGAAATACTAATCATAATCAAAGCAGATAAATTCAAGACACCTGATCATCTAAGTTTCTGTCATTATATAGAATAAAAAGGAAGCAGAGAAACAAACGCCACCATAATGGGTAGGAGTAGACAAATGCCTTCAAAATCTCTTAAGCTTAAACACCCTTTCCAATAGCATAGCCATAAAAGCGAATTTCAAAATATTAGGCATGAGACATTATTATATGGCTTCAAATGATTGAAGAAAAATATACATAAGTGAAGAGTTAAGATAGCTGTTTTAATTAAGTTCCTAGGTTTATAAAATTAGAGATGCCACGTGCGAAGGTGTTGACATGGACATGCATTTACTTCAAGATTAATTTATCACATTTCTTTACAAAGATCGCGACAAGGTTGTATGATTCTATCTAACTATCAATTTATCTGCCCATGTATAACAATAATGATGATGAGTGTTTTATATCCAAGAAGAAAATGCACGAGTAATTTTCATTTTTCAAAAGCAGCCAAAATATGCAGACCTGGAAAGGTAAAGGGCCAGTGGCAAGATTTTGGTAAAAAATATTACTCATGCACGCCGTGAGTCAAACGCACAGTTCAAAATTTTAATAAATTTCCATAAATGTCGAAATGTAAGATATAACGCAAGAGTAATCACAAAAAACTACAAGATTTTGAATAAGATAATATGCTGCCTGTTTTCATTTTGTGGAAGTCCCCGACAGAGAAAAGGGCTATAGGTGATGGCAGTTCTACTTCTTATATAGAGAGAGGAAAACTACAAGATCTTCAATAAGATAAATTTTTCTCAATTTTCATAAAATAATTAATACTAATTCTTATAGTTTCTTCTTATTACGTTACATTGAATCAATATTTTAAACACAACGGATTGATTTATATGAAATTCAACTTCTCCATCGTGTTTCTAAAAATTTCCAAACAATTTCCAAAACACGAAAGGAAAATGAAACTGTAAACCAGGGTACACATCCCAACATTACCATGATAACACGATCACAAATTCATAGTTGATATTTAACTTCTTCCCCATAGTAAAATCGTTGATCAAGTCCATCCCACTCCCATTTTCAGATAAGAACAAATTCTAACACTCTTGACATTTCTACTTCTGAAACAAGCGGTAGAATAAATTCAAACATACATAAAAGTTTTAAGCAACTACCAGATGGAAACTCAGAGATAGGTAATCATATACATTCAACCAAGAAATAGAGTTTTTAAGTTCTCAGTGTTGGTTAATGAATTTTAATCATCACAATGGGAAATTAATTTTCCTTTGAAGATTAAAATCATGTAAATAAGGATTTTAGTGACCTTGAGATCATTGGATTATAAAATCCTCACACATAAAAACGAGAGATGATAACATTTTGAAGGAGCTATTAATGGCCTAACCAATTACTTCCTCCCTTAGATCTTCTCCCTTGTTCTCTACTAGGTGTAATTCCTTTTTGGGGAAAGTGAAAAGTAGTTAACCCTAATCCTCATTCAAATTATGCCAATAAAGTGCATATTTATAATGCCCTATTAGGGTTTGAAAATTGCACAAATTTTCTTGGATTTTATTGTAGTAGGCTAATTAAGTCACACACCTTTTATTGGAATCAAGAGAGGGACCTAACCGGACTCACATAACCCAAGCTCCAATAGATGTTTTCAATTGGGTCAACTCTGACCAATTGACATACATCTATTAATCCCGGCTTATTCTACCAAAAAATCGAGATTGCACTCTTGAGTCGAGTGATAGTTATAGAAGCAAATTATGATCCAATAACAATATCCTCTGATTATTGTTCCACAAATCAACCCCATTTGACCGTCAATATGTTGAAACTGGCAAAATGACTGTTTTGCCCTTCAACATGTATTACCCTTTAAGTCCCATTTTCATACGGCAAATTCGTTGTGATCAAATCACAATGTAAAGTTCAACGATCTCATCGTCGACCTACTGAGCTCAGATTCAATTTGCCTAGGAAAGTACCTTAGAGTGACGATCGTCTCATCTCAATGATTAATGGATTCCAATATTGTAAGTATATGATCTCTAATTGTTTCGACCCGATTCCCAAAGTACCGAGATCAATCTTCTATTTAAGACTTCACTCATTGGTATCTCAAAGAACTTGAACTAGCAATCAAAGGTACATTACTCACTTAGAATTTACGTGACCTATTTGATAATCAAGTAGAGTCTCATTTCAAACAATCACAAATGAGTTATCTACACAATCCCGTTCAATGTGCATTGAAACACATTATTATTTCTATTTCAAGATCTAGATAAATCTTAATAAGAACAATACAATATTATCAACATAAAGCGTCCAACTTTATGAACCGATTGTGAACGACATAATTTTGATCACATCACAAATAGTGTCTTACTATACCCGATCCATCGAGTAATACAATTTGTGACATCCTATATGATCATGGAACTTTAAACAATCACTTCAAATTATAACACGCAAATAAACGAACATAAATTCATAATGTGATTTTATAGAACACTACTCGAAGAATGGGCATCAAACTAACACTCAGATCCCTTTATTTCTTTTAACTACATCTGTAAACTTTATTATTTTTCCCCACACTTTCAGTATAACAGAGAGTAATTAATTTCTCAATAATTATTGCAGTTCTTAGAAACTTGAGAGGATTTTACAATAATCTAAGATGGCATCTTCACATAGACCACTATCAGATTCGTATAGTAGCGTATCGGCGACAAATATACTCGAACCCTCATATGAATACAGAATTCTCCCCAGCTCTCTCTTTTATAACAACCATAACCACTTCAAAGTTCAAACATTTAAAAAAAAAAAAAAAAAAAAAAAAGTTTGACAGTGCAAAGTCTAAAAGACCTAGCTACAAATTCAGTCAAACCAATTCTTAAACCGCAAGAAATTCAAGAAATGAAACTCCAAGACGTAATTTTTACTTTCAATAGTGCCCCGAGTCGCCGACAAATTCACATACAGCAACAATGCATATCATACCTACACAAACCCTGACCTCAATTTACTAAATTCATCAATTTAAAACCAAATTACATGTTATCAGGAAAAATTTACTCACCACTGCTATCATACGGCTCGTAGTCCATTGCCAGCTTTCTCGGTGCCGAAATTCACAACTTCTAGCAGCTTAAAGTTCTCGAACCCTAAAAGAATTTTCTCGAGACAACTCGAAATTATGCTTTTAAAACATGAAAACCTCGAAAAAACATGTGAAATATTCTAACTTCATAGAGTTAAATCAACATAGACATTAAGTTTTGGGGAAGAGGCGAATCGATTTGTGTGATTTGCGTGTGATACAGTATCCCAGTAAGTGTGCAAGGGATAGGCGGATGTGAAATATGTTTATAAACTTTGGTTAAAATAGAGGGGTTGAATTCCGTTTTCTGATTTTGTTATACCAAAGCGTTTTTGTGTTTGATTCAATGGGTAGGGGTTTGGACACGTGCGAATATTTTTCATTGACTTCCATTTCAATCATGAGGGAGAAATAGAGTGCTCTTGTATTTTCTTTTATTTGGGTTGAAAACTTATCATATATGATGAAAAGGTTTATATTTCAGAAATAAATAATTAAATTATGTAATGAGATGTGCTCATAAGGTATTTTTTTATGACAAATAAGACAACATTTTATTTGTTAGCTAAAACTAATCGGTACAAAAATAGATATAAAATTTGGGAAGTCACTGAATCAAGTTGCGTTTGTAATACTAGTAAACGTTTGTGCCTGTGCATGAACTATCTTATTGACACTTAATATAACAACATTACATGGTAAAGATTTAAAACATAAAATTAATTCAAAAACATTTTATAAGACACTACTTTGTGCTTTGCAACTCCGTTGTAGCTATCTAACTCTAATTTAGAAAGAGGCAACCCACGTGTTTTGTTGACTTTAGTCCCTCCCAAATAGTTGTGTTGTGGCGTAAGCTATGAGTACCTTACGTCACGGCACACCACCTGTGTTGTTATAAACCTTTCCTTCGTTCACAGTTGTGTCAACTTTAAGCTTTCAGATGATTTTTCAGTAAAAATTCCAATATGAAAATTGGCCTCCGTGTTCACAGATCCTATATCCCTACAAACCTTCAATGATCAATTGGATGAAGTGATATTAAGTTAACAAGATCTTGATGATGTAGAAGCAGCGTGGTGATACTGCTCGGTTAGTTATTTTGCTGAAAGATTTCTAGGGAAAACAGCCTTGTTGCAATTGTGTGATTCATGGAAGGTACAATATCAATATTTTGATCATAATGGTGGTTAGTTGATCGTCAAATTTGAAAATGAAGCGAAACGATTAAGTGTACTTCATGGGGGCCTTATTTTGTTTTTGAGGCTCTTACTGCTGAAAAACATGTTTCGATACTTTGAGTTTGATGACAAAGAGGTTAACTCTATGTCGGTTTGGATCACTTTATGAGAATTGCCTTTAGATTGTTGGAACGTGAATGCATTGGGAAATGTTGCTTCCAAAATTGGAAACCACTATCAACTAACAAGCTCACATCAAGAAAAGGTAGACTATCTTTCGCAAGAATACTAGCTAAATTTGATGCTTCTATAGAACTGGTATGGTTAGTTAAGATAAAATTGCCTAATGGAAGGTCTAGGGTCCAACAAGTTTGTTATGAACACGAGTCCACGTATTGCTCTACTTCCAAAGTGGTTTGACCATTTTACTCTTGGTTGCAATTTAAAGAAATATGTTGCAGGCATAAAAGATAATTCCAGTAAGGTAAACTCTTTTGCTATTCCAAACAAAACTGTTTTTGCTAAAGATACATAAAATATGGTTGGAACTTCAATACAGGCAATCTCAATTGTGTACAACAGTTTGGAGAAGGGGATTTTGTAGCATGTGCAGCAGGGAGTCCATGATGATGTTCCTTCATTGAAGTTGACATAAAAAAGAAGGGTACAGATAAGCTTAAAGGACAGGGTTCGGAGGAACAATATGTTACTCACCGACTTGAAGCAAGTGATAACCTGCATTTATTGAAGTCAGGGACTGAAAATGTATTCCCCAACTTGCCAGGAATGGAAGCAAGGGTTGCAAATTGTGAAGACCCAAGTTCAAAGGCAAGTTCAAATGGAAAGCTTAAGGGAAAACTTCGATGAGCAACTGTAGCAACCAAAAAAGATAAAAAGATGGGAAATTCATTTCTTATATCATCATGAAGATCGCATGTTGGAACATTAGGGACATAAACCTGCAGATTGTGAAAGTCCCAGTTTGAAGGCAAGTTCAAATGGAAAGCTCAAGGGAAAACTCGATAAGCAATAGGCTACAACAACCAAAAAAGAACAAAAGATGGAGAATTCCTTTTTATATCGTTATGAAGATCGCATGTTAGAACTCAGAGACATGAACTTACTTCTAAAGCAAAATGCATTCGATACTTCATGACACAATACAATATTGACGTTATGGGCATTTTGGAAACAAAACTTTATCGGTCAAAGATACATCAAGTTATGCAGAATAAATTTAGCGATTTATTGCCAGTAAATAATTTCTTCACTCATCAAAGCCGATGGGATATTGATTTTGTGGTATCCCTTGAATGTGAAATTGAAAGTGTTGGAGACTATGTCACAAGTCATCCATTGCATTGCTATTTGCAAGGTAACTTCTTTTACCTTTCAGGTTAGTTTCGTTTATGCTTTCCATACAATTGTTAGCTGAAGGCCACTTTGGAGCAACATTATGGAGTTTGGTTCGAATTTTCATTGCCATGGATGATTCTTGGGAATTTTAAGAGTGTGCTAAAGAATGATTAGAAGTGCAATGGAGTTGAGGTTACTCTATATGAGGTGAAGGAGTTTGCGAATTGTTGCCTTTATATTGGTCTTACGAATGTGCCGTCCATAGGCTATTTTTATACATAAACCAATACTTCGGTTTGGAGCAAAATTGAAATAGCTAATGAAAGATATATGGGTGCATGTGGGGCTTCATAGCCTTGCTGATTTTTAGCCTTTGAGGTGCCTATCTGATCATTCAACATGAATTGTTTTACTTTTTGAACAAGAAGATAATAAAAGCAAGCCTTTTAGACTCTTCAACAAGTGGACTAGTCATGGAGACTTTCATCATCTAGTTCAAACAAGCTGGAATCAAAAGATTATGGGGACGAAACAGTTTATACTTTGCAAAGATTTACAAAATCTCAAAGTTTCATTAAGGCAACTAAATGCTAAGCATTTCACACACATTTCAACTAGAGCTGAAACAACATCAAGGGACTTAAAATTCTACACAGCTGGAACTACATGACCAGCCAACTAATGTTCAACTCTAACGTATGGTGGCACGATTGAGAAAAGAAGCCATGAGTTTATGAAAAGTATAGAGGAGTTTCTATTTCCCAGAAGCAAAATATGCATACTAAAAGAATAGTGAGAAATGCGATGATTCTTTCATTTGGAGGTCAAAAGGAATGCAAAACGGAATTATATTAATATAATGCTTAAGGAAGACGGGTCTTTCACAACTTTCAAAAATAGGCTGCTGATGAATTCATTGATTTTTATAGCAAACTACTGGGAATAGGCAACCTTGGTCAGCCTATTGATTGGAGTATTTTGAGAACAGAGCCTGTGGTATCTTTGGAGCAAGTCAGAGGAGTTTCTATTTCCCAGAAGCAAAATATGCATACTAAAAGAATAGTGAGAAATGCGATGATTCTTTCATTTGGAGGTCAAAAGGAATGCAAAACGGAATTATATTAATATAATGCTTAAGGAAGACGGGTCTTTCACAACTTTCAAAAATAGGCTGCTGATGAATTCATTGATTTTTATAGCAAACTACTGGGAATAGGCAACCTTGGTCAGCCTATTGATTGGAGTATTTTGAGAACAGAGCCTGTGGTATCTTTGGAGCAAGTTGAGTCCCTTGTTAGGGACATTCAAGACAAAAGAGTAAAGAAGCATTGTTTGGCATTTGTGACGACAATTTCTGGGGCCAAATGGTTATATGTCACACCTCTTTAAAAAGTCATGGGAGAATTTAGGTATTGATTTTGTAGGAACGGTTGAAGAATTTTTTCTTCAAGATCTCTTCTTAACAACCAATCACATGATCATTGCATTGGTTCCGAAGTCAAGCCATTTACCAACTGTTGGGGATTATAGTTTGGTTGCTTATTGCAATGCGATCTACAAAGTAATCACCAAGATTCTAGCTTTAAGATTAGGTCCTATTCTTAAGACTATTTTGGATCAAGCAGATGCCACTTTTGCGGAGAAATGGAGCATGATGGAGAAAATTCATCTTGCTCGGAAGCTTTTGAGGCAATACAACCGAAAGAGAGTTGCCCCTAAATGCCTTCTTAAAATTGATTTAAGGAAGATATATGAATCAATTAATTGGGTTAAAGCCATGCTTGAAAGGATTTGATTCCCTACTAAATTCATTGATTGGTGATAGAATGCATAACCTTCGTACACCATAGCATTAAACGGTAATCTACATGGTTTCATAATATGAAGAAAGGGCCTTAGGCAAAGGGATCCTTTATCTTATTTTTTGTTTGTGTTATGCCTTGAATAATTTTTGAAAATGTTGAATGTAGCCACCAAGAACACTGAGTTTAGCTTTTCCATCCTAAATGCGGACTTTTAAAGATCATACATTTAGTGTTTTGCGAATGATTTGATACTTTTTGCTAGAGGAGATGTAATGTCGGTTCGTATCTTAATGGATTGCCTATCTAACTTTGGGAATACATCGGGATTAAAGATGAACACAACAAAATCCAGCTTGTATGCGCCTAGAATTTATGGACAAGAACTAGAGAAAATCTAGGAATTAACGAACATATCAAAAGATACAATGTTGTTTTGCTATTTGGGTACCCTGCTTGCAGTCGAAAAACTAAAAGTCAGTTGCTTTGCTCCATTTTTAAACAAAATTACAGCATACATAAGTGCATGTACAAGTTCTTCACTATCCTATGCAAGAAGTTTAGCAATTTTGACGGCCTACTCGAAGGAGTTGAATATTTTTTACTGTTTATCATTTCAATTCCAACAACAATTACTTCAAGAATCATTAGACTATGCCGTAATTTCCTTGGAGGTCTAAGAAGCCATTGGTAGCTTGGAAGAATGTTTCCCCCCCCCCCCCCCCCCCCACCAAAAAAAAACACG